TCTAAAGTGTTGATGATAGATTTAATAAAATAAAATAATAAATTAAAATTTAATTTATTATAATTATTAAAATATCACAAGTATGACTGCCTAGTCTAGTTAAATTTTATCTAAACATTAAGTTAGCTTTATTATAGCTCAGTAATATGGCAGATCATTTGGCATTAATTTAGAAATTTTTTTTATCAGCATTTACTGATATTCTAGGTAGGCTGTTTAAAATAAATGAGAACTGATTTCTGTTTTCTTTGGAAGTAAGCACAAAATTGCTATGTAGAACTTCCACATAGGAACACTATTTTATGAATAAAATAGATTTTATTCATAAAATATATTTCTTTTTTATTTATTTAAATATATATATATATATCTTATATTATACAGGTATTTCTCATATAACATGATAGATTACATTCTGAAAAAGTGCAGTGTTATGTGAATCTGTGCTATACAAAAACAAAGGATCAATACAAAACATGAGATTAGGTTCCAGAAGTTAACAAAAGTATACTATTCTTTTTGTTACTAAGAGAAATATGTTTATTAAAGCAATCAATAGTTTATTTCAAATTAATAATCAACAATGACAATTAAAAGTACTGTATTATGCATTAATATTAATTTTAGTTAAATGAGGGCATTTTCTTTTTACAAAGTATTGTCGTCATTTTAGCTTTTTTGTTGATCTTGATCAGAAATATCAGCAATGTTTTCATTTTTTATTTTTACTATAAAAATTTTTTATGTATGACAAAATAAAAATATGTTATTAATAGAAAATTTGTTTTAGCAGGTTGTGTTTGTTCAGTTGAGTACTGAGTGATTTTTTTTTTTTTCCAGAATATTTTTTTCAATACTGATTGTTCAAGTTGGGAATAGTTGGGTTTGACATTCCATAAAATAACCACATCATCGACATACCTTGCGTACAGTAGGATTTGCATTTCGTAAATCGGCACAAGGGCATTCTCTAGCGTTCTTAACACCATCTCACATAAAGTACCCGCCATTGGGAATAGTTCAAGTACCAAGATACAACCTTATTTTGTTCATTATTTTTACAAATGATTAAATACCTATGGTTAAAAAAGTTTAATAACACTCATCTAAACATGTTTAAATAAACTTTACTAAATAAGAAGGTAAATCTATACAAACAGAACACACTGATAGTCTTAAAGGCTAGTCTGAAAGCATTGACAACAACACCGGATAATAGGAAAGCTAGGACAAAGAAGAAAAAAATTGCGCTATCAGTTTTCATTAAAATAAACTTGATAAAAGACAAAAATTGAAAATTTCAATACCCTAAAATTCATGGTCAAATTTGAGACAATGCGCATGCTTACTTGATGAAAACAATATCAAATAACAAAGTTTGTATGTAAAAATTGTGAAATTTTGAACGGAGGATTTTCAAATTCTCAAACTATATTAAAATGAAACTGGAAACCGTGTTGTATGGGCATTATCCCCAATTTTTGAATTGTGTTAGAGTGAAACTGTGTTGTAGAAGTACCATGTTGTATGGAGAACTGTACCTGTAGTACTTTACTGTATGGGGGATACCTGTATTAATTAACAGAGTAAAATTTATTCAATATAGTTTAAAAAATAAATAATATGTAAGTTTATTTATATGGACAGAATTTAAAGAATAATGGTAGTCATATTAAATACATGGCTGATGAGACATGCAATTCTCTGCATTTACCAATATATCTTGCATTTATAACTATGACATATTTAATAAAATTTTGCTGATAAATTTAATAAATTAAATAAATGTTGCTGACTTAACAAATTTAGAGTGTAATTATATTTTATATCAGTCTTTGTTCTTAAGAAAATTATTTTATTATTTTTTTAACAGAATTGTATAAAATTGATTTTTCTCTTTTTTTTTCAATATTGTATTAAAAGTTTAAATTTAATATTTCAATTTGTATGATTTTATATCAGTAAATACTAAAAATTTTAGCATCTGTATAATTTCAAACAAGATATCAAAAAGACCAGTTTGATATAATGTTTATCTTTGAGATATGATTCCAAATAGTCTGCTATATCATTGTTTTTTTTTATTTTTATAACATTGATGTTCTCTGAATAATTATTGATATAATTTTCTTATTTTTTTTATTTCTTTAATGTTCTGTAAGAATCAAAAAGGAAAAAAGAATCAATATCATCTAAGATATTATTGATTCTTTACCTTCTTCAGCCAGTAAGGCAGAGTAAAGATTATCTTATTTTATCTTTATCTTACTTCAAAATTTGAGATCTTAGTATTAAAAATATAAATTTCATATTTTAGATGTTATCTGTATATTTTATTTAGTGATTGTCTATTTCTATCTGAATAATCATAAGTAGATTTCAATAAATACATAGGATCTCTGTAATAAGATAGATAAACATTTATTTAGAAAATAATGTAAAATAACTTTTTAGTAAGATTCATTATAATAATTAAAAATCTTGTTAATTGCACATTCTCTATATCATGTATTCATAATTTTTGGACTGCAATTTGAAAAAGTTGTAGACCTATAAATTCCTATCCTCTTTTAATCTTAATCCTTTCTTAATCTGGATTATAGTGTTAGTTAGATGAATGTCAATACCAGATATGGAAAGCTTAGGCGTAAGAGACCCTCTATAAATGAACATTCCATATACACCAGAAATAACAATTTTGATTTAAAAATTTCCTTACATAGATGACCAGCATGACTCTGTTGTTGTTAGGAAAAGTATGATGTACAGGGGCAAGACACTAATAATTTGAGATTCAGATCATACACTTTAAATTAAATAGATTTAAAATATAATAAAAAATTGCAGCTTCTTCAACATTTATTTCATTCACATGTATTTTTCACTAGCAGTTTTATGAAATATGTTTTTCATTAAAATAATTTTCGTTTCCTATACAGGGTATAACAAAACTGTGCTAATATTTTATGAATGGATGCTATGGTCGAAAGAAAACTTAAAATTCTCTATAAACATTTTTCAAGTCTTGCCTTGCTTTCAAGATCTGGCCTGTCCAAAAAGATACTTTTTAAATTGTCTTCTAAAGTGTTGATGATAGAGTTGTGATCTTTTTAAAGTACTTTTGTGTATGTTTTTTTTTTGTTATGTTTCTGTTACCAGATTGGAGTAAGTAAATGTTGCCCAAGTAGGCCCTATTGTAATAAATGTAAACAAAGCTTAGCCACTAAAGTTTTGTTTCCATTTGCTCTACAATAAAAAAAGAATAGTTGGGATGAAAGTGTTTTCAATGTAAAGTTACTTTGAATAACATCATGTTTCTTTTTTACAAGATTAAACAAAATCATTCACAAGAATTACTCAAAATGTCCTTTACAAACATGGACATAGATGTTTACTCATAAAACAATTGAAGCTCAACACTCATAGTAATTAAAACAAGTTTAGTTTTCATGTATTCGAAAAACATTTTCAAAATTTAAAACAAAGCTTCAGTTTGTATTACACATATTGGAAACACAGATGTTTTTTGATGAGAGGTTTAAAAATTGGTCTTCCAAAATGTTTCTTCGCAAATCACACCTAAATTCAAAATTTCCAGCAAATAAAAGTCAAAAACACATATCGAACATTTTCGGCCACTAAATTTATCGGCCTTCCTCAGGAAATATCAACTGGAAAAACCATTCTATAAATAGAACTTAGCTGCCTTTTATATTTTTTAAAAGAACGAAAACAGCTGTGACATATCGTGTTTGACGTATATTATGAGTCTAGATAGCGTTTCCACGCTTAAGATACAGGAATGACATCCGTGTTGATGCAGTTTCCACTCATGTTCGCCTTGTAGATCTCTATTGCTTCTACAATTTTTATATTTTGCCTGTCGAAAACCTTGTGTATTAGCAACAAGGGAAAATTTCTGGATCGCTGGCATACCGTGCTAAAGCCGTACTGATGTTACCTTTTAGCACATCATATTTGTGATCTTTTAGTCTGGCTTGCAGCGATCTGTACGTGGATTCTAAGTAAGCTAGTAATCTGTCAAACCTCTCGTCATATAGGGGGATGTGGTAAATCCCAGGAGCCAGAGCGTCTTCATTATTGTCCTTCGCGTTTCAGAGAAGGCGGAAAATGGTGGGTTTCCTTCTATAGGCAAGGAATACGTTTAAACTATTTGCGATCCCTCTATATATGCGATGTAGTGTCGGTTCGTAGTCTAAGATCACCCGTTTTGCTTCTGCTTTGTTAACCCTGTTAGATGACCGAGTTAGATGTTTGGATGCCAGATTGTCTATAAACGTGCGGCCATATCCGTGTTTGTATGTTACTTGTTTGAGATGTTCCAGTTCCTTGTTGGTATCAAACAACTGTGTAGAATGGGAGTAAGCTCTGGCCACAAGAGTGCGGAATGCGGATGTTTTATATGACCATGGGTCCGTTGAATTGGAAGGTATGAATAGGGGGATGGAAGTAGCCTTGATACCAACAGGGAACTGGAACATCTCAAACAAGTAACATACAAACACGGATATGGCCACACGTTTATCGACAATCTGGCATCCAAACATCTAACTCGGTCATCTAACAGGGTTAACAAAGCAGAAGCAAAACGGGTGATCTTAGACTACGAACCGACACTACATCGCATATATAGAGGGATCGCAAATAGTTTAAACGTATTCCTTGCCTATAGAAGGAAACCCACCGTTTTCCGCCTTCTCTGAAACGCGAAGGACAATAATGAAGACGCTCTGGCTCCTGGGATTTACCACATCCCCCTATATGACGAGAGGTTTGACAGATTACTAGCTTACTTAGAATCCACGTACAGATCGCTGCAAGCCAGACTAAAAGATCACAAATATGATGTGCTAAAAGGTAACATCAGTACGGCTTTAGCACGGTATGCCAGCGATCCGGAAATTTTCCCTTGTTGCTAATACACAAGGTTTTCGACAGGCAAAATATAAAAATTGTAGAAGCAATAGAGATCTACAAGGCGAACATGAGTGGAAACTGCATCAACACGGATGTCATTCCTGTATCTTCAGCGTGGAAACGCTATCTAGACTCATAACATACGTCAAACACGATACGTCACAGCCGTTTTCTTTCTTTTAAAAAATATAAAAGGCAGCTAAGTTCTATTTATAGAATGGTTTTTCCAGTTGATATTTCTTGAGGAAGGCCGATAAATTTAGTGGCTGAAAATGTTCGATATGTGTTTTTGACTTTTATTTCAATCAAAACTTCTTCCAAAATTTCAGACTATGAGGCTTAATACTCCAGTACTTAATATTCCTAACAAGATGACTTTTATTTGCTGGAAATTTTGAATTTAGGTGTGATTTGCGAATATTACAGTTCCAGTTTGTGGTGAGGTTGTATCAAAATGTTTCTTTTGGCAGAACAGATCTCAAAAACAAAATATAATTTGAACAACGTTTACAGAGGATTTTCAGTTTACTTTTGATTGTAGAATCTGTCTGTAAAATATTGGCAAGGAGTTTTGTTACATTCTGTATATTTGTTTAAAAAGCTTGTTGCTTTCATTTACAGTAGAGTCCCATAGAATGCACAAATAAAGCAAGCAACACCCTCAAATTATGTCAGAGGTGTACGGTTTTTTTTCAACTTATAGGCCAATGTTTAAGCTTTCATAAATCATGTGATAATGCAGGTTTTGATAATGTGATTTCCTATAATGCATAATGAATCCCATGCATTGTACAAGACTAGACTGTACTATCGTTTGATGTTTTCTTTGCATTATTTCAAATTGATTGATTAAAATTTGATAATGAAAAGTTTAGTGAAATCATAACTTTGAAACATTGCACATTCCGTTTATTTTAATGAATTTTATATATACAGTCCTTCCAACAATAATAGAACATACAGTGATTGTTTAGAAACTATTATTTTCATATAACTCTGAAATTTTCTAGTATGGTTGATAGCAAAATATCAACAATTATTTCATAAATTTGGAGAAAAATGATTAATAAACAAGAGTTAGATATTATTATAAAAAATAAGATGTCCAACACTAATGGAACATGTACTGATTTGGAATTAATTACAAAGAAAGTAATGATTGGAATCTATGAAATTTGCATAAAAATACAATCAACAAATGAAAAAAAAGGTTTATTAAATTGCATAGTACATTACTGTTAAAAATGGGATGTGAGAAGGGCCTAACTGTAGAGGAGAAGAGCAAAATTGATGTGTTTCACCAGGAAGAGAGAAAAGTAACTCGGATTGCTAAAAATTTGGAAAGACTTCATTCAACAATCTCAAAGTATCTCAGTAATAAAGAGAAATGAACAGGAAATGGAACAGTGGGTGCAAGAGTTCAACAACACTTACAGAACAATGTGCACTGCAAAGAAACACGGATGTGTTTCCTTGCAGTACATGCAAAAAATAAAAAATGAATTGAAGCTGAGCTGCAGTAAATCAACAGTACACAATGTTTTGAGATCAACAGACAATGTTTCTTTCATTAAAATGATAACAGGCAACCAACTCAAGGAGAAACACAAGCAACTTTGATTACAGTTTGCCAGAAACAACTTTGAAAGAGGGGAAGGATGGCGAAATGTAATTTTCTCAAATGAGAAAAAGTGGAATCTCAATGGACCTGATGTTTTTAAGTATTATTGAGCAGACAAAAGACTGGATCAAAAGCAGTACTCAAAGAGAGTAGCTGGTGGTGGTACACTCATGATTTGGGTAGGGATTGGTTGGAATGGAAAGACAGATCTAGTATTTATTGAAGGTTGAAACAACTCTCAAACTTATCAGGACTTTGTCTGGAGACAGTTCCAAACTTATGGACAGAAAATTACTGGACAGGACTTTGAATTCATGCAGGATAATGCAAGCTTCCATGTATCAAAATCAACATTATCCTTTTTTCAGAGGAAGAACATTTGACTTTTGGACTGGCCACCCCTGCAGATTTATACCCTATTGAAAATCTTTGGGGTGACTTGGTTTTCTAAATGTATACAGTGGAAAGCAATGCAAGACTGTCACTGAACTAAAGGCTGTTTTCATTGAGGCATGGGAACATATTCCACAAGAACGACTACAATCTTTGATTAATTCAATGTCTAATCATATTTTTCAGCTTGTTTCCAAAAATTGTAGTAAAATCAGCTATCATAAGTCAAGATGTTCTTATTAATGTTGGATTTTCTATTTTTGCTAATAGTATCTAGCTCTTTTGTTTCTTAATCATTTTTCTCTAAACTTGTGCAATAATTGTTGCTATCTTACTATAAAATGTATTAGAAAATTTCATTAAAGTTACATGAAAATAATAGTTTCTAGACAACTCTATCACTGTATTTTCTATTGTTGGAAGGACTGTATAATTTTAAAAAACTATTTGTCTTATTGTCTTAAATGAAATTAAATGTTTTAAAATTTTATAAAAATTCAAAGATTTAATTATATAATTTATTATTTTAGAAATTTTTAATGGTGGAAAGAACGATAATCAAAATTTACAACAGAATATTACTAATATTAGACAGTCTGAAGATTTAAATCCATATCCTGTAATTGGTGTGTTAGTTTTTGCTTGTAATCGAATAACTGTTAAGAGGAATCTTGATCAGCTTATTAAGTAAGTAGTTATATATTTATCTATCTATTATTATATTAACTTTTTAAAAAAATACAATTGATATTACAGTAGAGCATCGTTTATCCGAAACGTCGGTTATCTGAAAGAATTCCAGTCAGCAAATTTAAATTTTCACTAGTGCTGTGGCGCTGCAATCTTTGGCTATATCTTGGGCTACTCCAATATTTTTTTTTGTTGGTGTGTGTTTTTTAGCTGGTAGCACTGGCACTTTTGTGTGGTGTTTTTTCTGAGGACTGTGTATGGTGCTGAATTGAACGTTTTTGATACTAGATCAACTTCTAAAGTAAAATTTTTTTTTTTTTGTTTTTATATTTTTCAATATATTTATTTTGTTTGTACAAAATAAAGAAATAATTTTTAACGATACAATAGCCACGATTATTATTTTAAAAAGTATACGTTAGGCTTAACATCGACGAAAATTCAACGCGAAGTGACACGAAACGGAGAAAAATTTTAACACGGGATAGGTTAATATATTTTTTCGTATATAATCGGTTATCCGAAAAATAAGTTATCCGAACAACCTCAGTCCCGAATTGATTCGGATAAACGACGCTCTACTGTATCTGTTAATATTATATAGAGAAATTTTCTTTAGCCTTTAAACTATAAAATGTTTTAATAGATTTATTGATATATAGGTGTCCCAATAGCAGTATTAGACCTAATTGTGAAATAAAATGCATCATTTATTGAACAATTATGAATATTTTTATTTTAGTATAAAGTAACATTACACTCCATTTTGGTGCTAAGTCATTTTTACATATGGAAGACAGTTTCTGCCAAATGTTCCCATGACTCTGGTGGTGTTATTCTTTGCACAAAATTGTTTGACACTGCCACATAATTTCAGCAAATTCTGTCAATAACAAATTGAATCTCCATTTTGACATCAGAAATTGTTTGTGAGTTGTTGGAAACCATATGACATTTTCAAGATTGCCAATCACATGGAATGCCAATGGCATGCAACTTACATCTGGCACTTTAATGGGACACCTTTTATAATTATAAAATAAAGAGCTATATAAAGATTGTACATTAACTAAAAAGATTTATCATATTCTTAAAACTGTAAATTCTTCAATAGAGAGGTTGCGGCCAAAGTCTTCAAGGCAAAAACTTGTATGTCGGATGTTCAGTGCCGCCTTCCTGTAAGCATAGAAGTTTGACAATGGCATTTGGAACATCAGTGGAATCATGCTCAACATTCAAAACGCCATTGTCAAACTTCTAGGCTTACAGGATGGCGGTGCTCAACATGTAATGTTCATGTTTTTGCCACAAAAACTTTGCCCACAACCTCTCTAATATCTTTGTCTCAGAACCTTTTTCTCAGAACCTTTCTGAAGGAATAGATAGAAGCTATCAGATTTCACAAAGAAAAAAATTCAAGTATTTGATTCTGATGGAACACAAAATTACACATTCATAAGTGGAGAAGGATTTCTGTAGAGTATTGCATTCCTAAAGCAGTCAATATCAACCCCAGGGCATTTTTGGCAGTCAAAAATTAGTTGGTGGTTGATTGAAAACAATTCATTAAAAATTATTAGTTTAGTGGGTTATGTATATGACAGTTCATTTGCACAGTGTAAATAGATCTTTCCTATGAAAACAGTGTGTGTGGATTAATACTGGCTTACCAGATTTCTTTTATTGCTAATATAGTTAATAAATAAGAGGGGGGTCAATAAAAGGTAAAGGAATCCTTGAAGGGAGTGACAGTCAAAAAAGTTTGAGATTTCTGCTAAAAAGGATTACATTGGCAACACTTTTTAAAAAGATTTAAGTTAAAAAAGATGTTTATCTGAATGACAGATTTGTGAAAAATATAACATATTGTGCCTGAAACCATAAAATATACTAGTGTGCATAAATTATGGAAGTAAAACATAAATTAAATTATCTAAATGAATTTACATAGAAATTGATTAAATTTTATAATTCTTTGATTAATTTTTCATGGGCATACATTTTAATGTAACCAGTAAAAATACCAAATGTCTGTCCATTGTGATGAAGGTAAAATGTTGCAAGCATGCAAATGCCTTATTTTAGGCATTAGGCAGAAGTTTGTTTCATACTTCTTTAAGTCAATATTGTGTGTGATCATCTGAAATGTCTAGACAATTTCATAATAATTCCTCTTGCTTTCAATAATGTGATTCAGGAGCTCAGTAAGATGTTTTCATTCCTCCAGCAGGGCAATTTTAGTTTCAAGTTATTCTTGGAGAAAGTGGTGACTTCAATCTTCTAAGTTGCCATCCTAAAGCATCACAAACCTGCTCAATGAGGCTAAGATTTGGGAGCGTGATAGGCCAGTTCATTTTTCTTAAATCTTCACTTTTAAGACATTCATCTATAAGTCTCATCCTAAAAGAATGGACATTATCATATGTGAAAATGAAATCTGAACTGACAACATTCAAAAAGTCTCACATGGAATTCAAGGATTTCAATTTGATGCTGTTAAAGTTCAGTTATTAACAATATGTGGTGAGGCATGAACATCAGTCATGATGCCACATTTTCTCTGCATCTTTAAAATTCTCTCTTTTGTCTTATTGGGGAGATTTTGGATGTCAGCTTTTTCTAGATGTATTAATACCAGGAATCACTTGGTAGTGAAAATCTGTGAAGTGTACTTTTTGTCATTTTTGTCATTACTCAGATGTCAAATTGCAATGCTGCTGACTATATCATTCTAATTGAGCTCTTATGGACGTGAGTGAGATACCACCATAGGAGACATATGATCCTCTTGTAAATCCTTCTGGCTAGATTCACTTTGATACTGATTTTCCTGTTACTAAAGCATTCTGTGAGGAGAATTGGTAAACTGTCATGTCTGTTGTGTTTTATAGTTAGGACTACATATCAGTCATCTTCAGCTGTTTACTGTTTATTTTCATCTGTATGTCTAATGCATATTCCTGTCATTCAAAACTGTCACCTTAGTCTTAAAATGATATCCATATATCTAGTAATTTTACCAGACATTTATATATCTGGTAAAATTATTAGGCTTTGATAGCTTCCACCTTAGGGTACGACTATGCAGACACGAGCAAGAATATGTGGTGAGAAGAGATGATGGCATTTCACACACTGTTTCTCGCTCTTGTCTGTGTGGTCATAATAAATGAGAGTGAGAAACAGAGTGTGTGAAATGTCATCACCTCTTCTCACCACATAAATTTATGCTTGCTTGGAAAATTCACTCGCTCATGTCTGCATAGTCGCATCCTTATGGATGATTCTCATCTCTCACTGTCAGTCAAATGACATTGTGAGGACATTTTGAACAAAAACATTTAACTACAGCAATTGCAATGAAGCTAAATCATAGTTACCTCTAACTTGCATAAATGGTGCACCATCAGTACATTTGCATAAAGATTTACTAGTCATACTAAGTTTGATTAAAAGAAATTAGCTCTGTTTTTTAAAAGCCACTAAAACATGGGATCTTACTTAGTGATAAAACAGTGTGTATAAATTGTCTTGCTTATAATAAAATAAACCAAGATTAAAACATTTATTGAAAAAAATATTACAAGTCACAATCTTTAATGGAAAATGCCTATATTTTACTGTAGGAAATAGTATATTTCTAAAAATAATTTTACAAAATTTAACTATATCTAAGGTTTAAATTGTGTACTAAAATTTTTTCAGAGTTGATTTCAAATTACATTAGTTTCATTGAATGTCTTAAATCATTAAATGTTAGTGGAAATAGATTTTACTTGTGAAAACAAAATAATATAGTTGAAAGTATGATAATGAAATGATCTAATGGATATTGAGTATTTCTAGAAAAATCTGAAATCTTGAAATAGTAACATGAAATATTTTTGAAATGTTTTCTGGTTTCATTAAATTATATGTAAAAACAATGAAGCCATTAAAAGATACACCTGCATTTGATAACAAAATAGAATTAAGACAGAAAGAATCTCCCCTATCAATGACAACAGTAGACATATTGTATTTAAGTATTGATAGTAATGTTATTTGAATTTCAATTTTCTAAAATTATTTCTTTTGAGTAGTTAATCATGTATTTATACATTTTTTATCAATATTAATTTGTATTGAATTCATAGACATTTCATAATTCATTATTAGAATCTTCAAAATTTTAAGATTTTCACTAAAAATGTTTTAATTTTATAAAATTTTAAACAGAATTATTTATTTTTCAGAACAGAAATATTTTGTTTGATATATATATATACATATATATANGCTCTTGTCTGTGTGGTCATAATAAATGAGAGTGAGAAACAGAGTGTGTGAAATGTCATCACCTCTTCTCACCACATAAATTTATGCTTGCTTGGAAAATTCACTCGCTCATGTCTGCATAGTCGCATCCTTATGGATGATTCTCATCTCTCACTGTCAGTCAAATGACATTGTGAGGACATTTTGAACAAAAACATTTAACTACAGCAATTGCAATGAAGCTAAATCATAGTTACCTCTAACTTGCATAAATGGTGCACCATCAGTACATTTGCATAAAGATTTACTAGTCATACTAAGTTTGATTAAAAGAAATTAGCTCTGTTTTTTAAAAGCCACTAAAACATGGGATCTTACTTAGTGATAAAACAGTGTGTATAAATTGTCTTGCTTATAATAAAATAAACCAAGATTAAAACATTTATTGAAAAAAATATTACAAGTCACAATCTTTAATGGAAAATGCCTATATTTTACTGTAGGAAATAGTATATTTCTAAAAATAATTTTACAAAATTTAACTATATCTAAGGTTTAAATTGTGTACTAAAATTTTTTCAGAGTTGATTTCAAATTACATTAGTTTCATTGAATGTCTTAAATCATTAAATGTTAGTGGAAATAGATTTTACTTGTGAAAACAAAATAATATAGTTGAAAGTATGATAATGAAATGATCTAATGGATATTGAGTATTTCTAGAAAAATCTGAAATCTTGAAATAGTAACATGAAATATTTTTGAAATGTTTTCTGGTTTCATTAAATTATATGTAAAAACAATGAAGCCATTAAAAGATACACCTGCATTTGATAACAAAATAGAATTAAGACAGAAAGAATCTCCCCTATCAATGACAACAGTAGACATATTGTATTTAAGTATTGATAGTAATGTTATTTGAATTTCAATTTTCTAAAATTATTTCTTTTGAGTAGTTAATCATGTATTTATACATTTTTTATCAATATTAATTTGTATTGAATTCATAGACATTTCATAATTCATTATTAGAATCTTCAAAATTTTAAGATTTTCACTAAAAATGTTTTAATTTTATAAAATTTTAAACAGAATTATTTATTTTTCAGAACAGAAATATTTTGTTTGATATATATATATACATATATATATAAATATTTCTGTTCAGAAAAATAAATAATTCTGTTTAAAATTTTAAAAAATTTAAAAAATTTTTCTAAGTACTATTGATATTGTACTATAATATATATAGTACAATATCAATAGTACTTAGGAAAAACTATTTGAGAGTTGACCATTTCACATACAACTCAACTTTTAGTCAAGTTATACTTTTTTATAATTATTGCTTAATATGGATGAATGATTTAGTTTTCCAGTTGTTAAAATACACAATTTTATTACATATTAATAAAAAATAGATAGATTATAATTATTTATGGTAGCATTTATTTTTTTAGATTTAGACCTTCACCAAAACAGTTCCCAATAGTTGTTAGCCAAGACTGTGGTCATGAACCTACTACTAAGGCCATACGTTCGTATGGGGACCAGCTTACACTTATTCAGGTAAGTTTTAAATAAAAAATACATTCGTTTTATAATGTATTACAATGTTTATAATTAATTATAAGATTTATGATTGGATTTAGTTGAATTATAATTTTTTTCATGTATATGCCATGAAGGTATCACAAGTAAGCATTAACATTTGTGATTAACCTTATTTTTATGGCTGGTCATCTGAATATTGCTATAATGAAAGCAGATATAGTCTAATTTAAGATGAGAATTCTTTTCTTAGTATTTAAGGAATTATATTTAAATTTTTTTTTGTGTATAAATTCAACTTTTGACTATTTTAAATTTAAATATAAATGTCTTACTAAACCTGATACATTGCAATAATACTACTTCAACTGCCACATAATCTAAAATTATTTAAATTAAATTTAATACAAGATGGCGCCTAACACCTCCCTCTAGGACCAAATTTATTAGTAATTTATTATTATCACCAAATAGCCTGATGTTATACAGCAGTTGAAGTAGGGTTGTTTTTAATTTATTTTTTTTCCTTTTTCAATGATTTTTATTATTTCAGCAACCAGACCAAAGTGACATTCCATTAACTGGAAAAGAGAAAAAATTTAAAGGTTATTATAAGATAGCTAGACATTATGGATGGGCTTTGAATAAAACTTTTCATGATATCGGTTATGATACAATAATTATTGTTGAAGGTAAGCTTTAAATTAATGCATGTCATTGAGATTTATACGATATGGAATAAAAAGTAAATACTACAAAGTGAGTCACAATTATGTCCAACATTTAAATAATATGTAGACTTGTATATTTAATGTGTAACTGGAACTTAAATCTGAGTATTATTTTATTAGAAATTGGCATTTAGTTTGTTCATAAATGATATCTTTTTCTAGTATGCATTGCATATCTAACACATACACACAGTTTTGTGTATGCTGCAAGATTTGTAATGGAAAATTGGTTGATCTTTATATTTTGCAGATCACAATGACTGTAAAAAGGTATATGGACACACCAATCCAATTTTGTATTACTGATCATGTCTGCAATGTAGGATGCCAATTAATTTCACTTCATGCAAGACAGCATGCCAGCAAATTTCATAGAAACAAGATGAGTGAGCATGGCTGGCTATTTTTCCGGGACAGGTTATTGGATGCAAATATGACAGAGTAGTCAGTACGTTGTCCTGATCTCACATTTTTGTACTTCTTCCTGTGAAATAGCTTGAGAAAGTCTATAGCTGTAAATTTCAGGTTTTTGAAGATCTTGGAGGAGTTGATTCAAATAGAGTGCACGAACATTCCATGTAATATAATGTAATGGGTAGTGCAGCATGCCCCATAACATGCAGAAATACATTAGCATACAGCTAATGTATGTATGTTATGGTTCACGTTGAGTGATATGAAAATGCCACAAACCTATGTATGGATTATGCCTAATTATTCTTCTAAAGCTGTCTGCATGTTTGTGTATTATACAAATAATTATGTTGGGTATAATTATGATTCATCCTGTATATTTAACTGAAATTAAATATAAACATAATCTATATTTTGATTAGTTAATATCTGTATTTTAAACTTTTATAAGTATTTTCAAATTTAGAAAATTTAATTTAATATTTTCATATTAAATTATTCAAATAGTCATTTTCTTTAAAAAATTACAAGTGTAATTGTATAATTTGAATTTGTAATAGTTAATATAGAAATGTTGTTTTTTACGTAAATTATCAGATTTTCAATTACTTGTAAAAAGTAGTTAAATGCTATATTATATTTATTCTATATCATCACTCAAGAAACATGAGTTAACAAAATATGAACTAACAAAAAAGCTGCTTTCATTTTAAAATGTTTAAATTTTATTTGTTTAATTAAATATTTTTTTACAACTTCTATATAATTGAAGTTAGACTTTATTTTTGCATAAGCATTTTATTTGGAATTATTATTATTTAAAAGAGATAAAACACTATTTATTTGACTGGAATGATATAGTAAATATGTCACTCTAAAGCCTTAAATTATTTTCTAGTAACAGATAATTTGAAACAGTTTTTTCAACTAATGTTTTCGATCTTCAATTGGAGATCTTCAGGTCTTGATTCTATATTCGTTGACGGAATGCTTAAATTGAACAGTGATGTTTTTTGAAAAATTTTAAGTAATTTTTAAAGAAATTCTCGGGATATATAAAATAGAAAAAAGTAACAATAAAGATATAAAATTACAAAATATGCAATTAAAATTAACATTTAAAGATTGTATATCAAAGCTGAGAACTTTTTGTTATATTGTCTCTATGTCGTGTTACATCATATTCGGACATGTGGCCACATGACCGAATATGATGTATTTATAAATTGATTACAAGATGGAAGAGGTGATTCAACAAAATACAAACTATATTATTTGATTACAAACAAATTCACTTGTCAGTCAAAAATATTTCATGTTAAAGTTTATTAAAAAAGACACTGCAAACTTTTCAGATGGCCTATATTTAGTGCATTATCGCTTTTATGAAACATAATCAATATATAAATATTTTATTTTGATTTTAATGAGATGATTATTGATAATGAAATTTTATGCAGATGTAAATTCAGGATATTCAGATTATTAGAATTTTTATATTTCAAATATTATAAGTATAAATATTTTATACTAAACTAATTTTATATATATCTGAATTAAAGATCATAATACAGTTAAATTTTATATAGTTTATGTTTAAAATTTGTTGTTTTATTATAGATGATTTAGATATTGCTCCAGATTTTTTTGAATATTTTTTGGCACTTCATCCAATTTTGAAAAGTGATCAGACTTTATGGTGTATTTCTGCTTGGAATGATAATGGCAAAGATGGAATGGTAGCTAATGAACCTGGTAAGAAATATAATGTAGTTGTCAAATTTGACTTGTTGCATTTGGTAAAATTAATGATTTTTTTGATAAAGTAAAGCAATGTTTAATAACATATTATTCAAAATTATATGCATTTTTCAGCTTTGTTATATCGCTCAGATTTTTTTCCTGGACTGGGATGGATGCTTACAAAAGACCTGTGGTCTGAATTGCAGTCCAAATGGCCCAAAGCGTATGTATAAGTTTATTTCTCATTTGTTAAAATGATTGTTACTTAATGATAATAGACTTAAACATATCCATTATTGCACACTTTATTAAGTATATAATATATCACTTATATACATTTATTATATATTATAAGTATATTAAGTGTATATGTAACAAGTAAAACGGCAAAACTGTATTTGGAACAAGACTATGTCTCGGAGACTAACTACTAAGCAGAATCACTTTGATGCTCAAGGTGGGTCTCATTCTCGTTCTCCAATCTTCTTTGGTATCGCTGCTTTTGGGCGCAATCATTCAAACTTTGCTGACCATAACCACAAGGTTGTCCATGATGTATTTTCAATGAAATTAACATATCCAATTTCGAAATTTCTCTCCGTTGCATGTCGGCCTGGATTGAATTTTTGTTGATGCATAAAGAACATTTCTTGTTTTTGAAAAAAATAATCATGGCCATTGTATTGTCCAAAATTATTTTTTTTTTATTTTGCACATACAATATACAGTTTAACCTGATTATAACGTCATCAGATATAATGACAACTCTAATATAACGTCAAATTTTTATCAGTCCCATGATTTTACTATACTAGATAATGTTAAAAAAACCTACTTGTAACGACATAAAACCCTGTAATGTCATATTTGAAGCACTCCCAAATTTACAAAATTAGATTACAAATTTTATTTAACATAGAAGAAACTGTGTGTTCAATCCTAAGGTCAGAGTTCACTTCTTAGAATGACTGTGGGTGTACTCTCCCCCACCTGACTTAGGTGGGGTGAGGTGGCTGTTTTGCCTGTTTGTAGAAGAGGGTCACCATTTTGGATTTTATTTTGACTCTGTTCTCGGTCCCCTGACTACCGATGAGTCTGGATTTTTTTATGTGCAAATGATTTGGTCACCTAATACTCTGTGCCAAATATAAACTTGACATGTACTCCTTCATACCTCTATGCTGGTAATAAAAAACGATTTTATAAACAAGACAGTCTTGTCGATAAATATAGCCATTATACATATATATATATATAATATATAGTCTTGTTTATAAAATCGTACTGCCGTTTTTTATATATATATTAAACAAACTTGTAGTAGGAGGATCAAAAAGTAATTGAACTTTATTTAATGTGACTATTTAGAAAATATTAAATAAAAATATCTTATTTGTAAGATATAAAGACTACCTCATAAACAGTTTTACATGATATATTAGAATTGGCACAATCATAATTACTTTCAAATAAAATTTTTCTTCCAGCCCAAGTGAAACTTGTTCTTAGAGATGGAATTGTGTAACAGATATGATGACATTATAGCTTTGCAGGAGAATATCTCATGAAGATCACGTTTAGAATCAAAAGTGTTTCTTTTAATCATATAATCATATAGGGATTGAAAGTCCTGCAGTTTCTCTTTAACAATGAAACTAAAGCCTTTCCATAAATTGTTTCAGACATAATATATGTAACTTAAGCCTAATGACATACCAATACATAAAATATATGATTAAGAATAGCCTAATATTAATGATGAAATGAAATTTGGTAAAAACTAGTGAAATTTAATAATCTTGACTATGTATATTAAATTTTACATAAAATTTTATTTTAAATGACATTCAGTTCCTTAACATGCCAGTGGAAACTGTCTTTTTTCTTTCTTTCTTTTTTTTTCAAATCAAGACAGAATCATGTGACTAGAGTGAACATTGAGAATTAACAACGTTGTTTTGAAGATCGTCATTAGTCTCAAACCTCTGCCCTGCTAGCCATGTTTTCAGTTCAGGAAAAAGGTGGAAGCCTTCACACATCAAAAAGTTCCAAGCTGGTGGAAGTCTTCATCACCTTTAAACATTCAGCATATAGCCCTGGTTTAGTGCCGAGCAACTTCCACCTCTTTCCTGAACAGAAAAAGTGGCTAGGAGAGCAGAGGTTCAAGTCTAATTGCGATCTTCAAAACAACTTTAGGGCCCATCTCAAGTCATTGGCGGCAACATTCTATGACAAGGGGATGGAAAAGCTCGTCCACAGATATGACAAATGCCTCAATATTCACGGTGATTATGTTGAAAAGTAATGATGTTTGTATGTAACTTTTGGTAATAAATTCATTTTGTCACTTGTCTTTTTTTTTATGGACCATAGGAGCTTGAAAAAACCAGCCTATGTACAACAAATTAATATAAACCAGACTTTAAATTCTTTACAATCTTTAATTTATTACTTAATAATTACAAATGTATAACTTGAGAATTTGATTAAGAGGAGAATCAGAATTCAATGTAGAGAGATTATTATGTAGAAAGAGTCAAAATATAGGATATTCTTTTTTATATATTAATTTTAAAAATATATATAAAATAATTTGATAACTTTAAAACTTTGAATATTATTTGATTGTATACAGTATATGTTACATTGAAGTAAAAGTTATAATAGTTGATTTTTCTTTGTATTTTGAAAAATACCAAAACACCAAAATGATTTTAGGATTTTGATTATAATTTAATATGTAATCACCATGTGTTTACACCAAGATTTGATATAATTAATTTAAAAGAGTAAAATTGAAAACTGACCAGCTTATAAACTTTTTCCAATAAACAGTTTTAATTTTTTAGTCTGAAATTAAAATATTTACATTCTAAAATAAACTTTAATTATATTCTTTAAAATCCATAGTAACAATGAATGAGTTTTACCATAAGCTTTTACTTTCTTATTTAAAATATTTGTTAATTTTTATACTTTATTATTATTATTATTATATTATATTGATGGTCGTTTCATCTACACCGGATGCTCTATTACGTAACGATTTTATAGTTCTGTGTAACTCTGTAAGGCGACTTTCAAGCTGTAAGGAATACGATACGTTCCTCCATCGTAAATTCATTTGGACGTTTCGCGTCGTAAATTAATAATAATTTATGTCGAGGTTCCTATTTAACGGCCCTTTGCGCGTGCCTTTCGTTTAAATTGTTCTTACTTTAAATCCAGAAGAGAAATTAAATTAAAATTGCCATTTATTTATGTCTTTTAGTGTCTACCCAGCGAAATTAACAATAGAAGAATCCAAGGATTTAATGGTCGGTTTCTTTTCGGAAGGTTCGGGTTCGATTTCTCTTTCTCGTCTCGATTTTGGCGCTTTCCTCCACCGAAATCTCGATAAAAATCCGTATTTTGTCGTTTATTTCGAAGCGAAATCTGGCTTAAGAGGGTGCTTTTTCTTTATTTCGAAAAATAGAAGGACAAATTGTTTAGTGGTTGGGAAAATTAACCGAATTATTAGAGAGAAATTTGGCACGCGACTTCTAGCTTAAAAAGGAAACTGTAACTCACTGATGGCCCCCGAGTCGTTTCTTTCTTCGGGACGTCTTCATAAAACAATGTATTATGGNCCATAGTGTGTCTATATATATATATATATATAATCAAATTAGTCAAGGTAAGTCAAGAGGAGAGGGAAATCAGTTGGGAGACAATAGTATGGGGTCATTGTAAAGAAAAACTATGTATACATGGGTATTATTCTCAGTAGTTTTGGAAAAACAGCTGTTTGAAAGTTGCTCCCATAAATACAATAATAATGAATGATGTATTTGTTATATTCACATGTTACATTCATTGACGCATGTTAGTGTTCCACAGACATGAGTCAATTAAACTTTACATTGCTTTGTCTTCCTATTACTATCAGTGTGTCCAATGTCTTTGGCTGTCAAAAATCAAATATCTCGCTATTTAATTCTGATGCAAATGCCATCTGGCAAAGATGACTTAGTACAGAGCTGTATTACTGTATACTCTTTTAATATTATTAGCTCAACCTTGTACACTGTTATTTTTCTGTAATATCACTACAAACCTTATTCATTGAATCTACTTCATAACATTTATTATTTATTGTATGTAAGCAAACAGCTATGTCAAAAACTATTGAGAATAAAACCTAAGTTCATATAAAGTTTCTTTTTTGTTTATGATTATCTATTCTATTGTTCTCATAACTGATTTCCCTCTCCTCCTGACTCATTCTGTGTATATAAATAAATAAACTCTCATGATAAAAATTAATGCATGAATTATAATTTACAAAATAATGATAAAAATGTATAATTGAGAGAGAGAATAACAATAAATATATGTAATTTATAACTGTTTGAAAAATATAATTGAATAAATAAGCCTATATTCTTAACAGAAAAAATGATAGAATATATAATTAAATATTTAAAAAAGAAATAAAACTAAAAGAAAAGGAAAAATATATACAATGGATTCTTGTTAGTGTCAACCATTGTTTAGTATTATCAGTCAATCCAGTGTTAGTGTACATTAAACTGCTCTTCAGGGAACTTGAACTTGGTTAACATTGATGTTTCTTTTACTTACCTGTTAGAATAATTATTATTGCTTTTTAAAAAATTCTAACAAAATATAAGTAAATTCAAGTGATTTTTGTATTTAAAATTTCAGTAATTTTTTCAGGATGTTTACAGTTATATTTTCAGAAGATTTAAAAATTTTCAACTGAAAACATGCTTATTAAATGAAAGTATTGCATGTTCTTTCATTGTACAGTTGTATTAAAAGGTTTTATTTCTAAAACATCTAAATATAAATTAACATGTAAATAGAAGCAATGATGAACAGGAAAGTGATAATTAAGATGGCTAAGAGCATTATGATATAGCATCTCTTACTTCACAAAATGCTTTTCTTGATGTTCACTGTCTTTATTGATTCAAACTGAAAAATTCTGGATACTCACATTGATAAGTTATACCAGCGATTCCCAACCTGTGGTACGTGTACCCCTAGGGGTACGCGATAGGTTGTTTAGGGGTACAGAAAAAAATTTATTATGGCAGAAAAAATAATATATTATGTATCACAAACTAATAGTATTAAAAAATTATTAGGTAAAATATGTTCCTTGCAACAATCACAACTTTATTATACATTTTTTCATTTACTTTTTTTTCTTTAATTTAAAGTTACAATATGTAAAATTAACAATACGAGCACTCACTAAATTTCTTAAATGAGGGGTACAATCTAGAGATATGACATGTCACGGGGTACAATCTAGAGATATGACATGTCACGGGGTACAATCTAGAGATATGACATGTCACAGGGTACGCTAATGAAAAAAGGTTGGGAACCACTGAGTTATACAATACATTGATAAAACTGTATTTTAAAAAGTGTCAATTACTCACTTTAATTTTAGATTTAACAGATTTTTCTAAATGATTTTTTTATGCCCATGTGTCTTCTTCTTATATGTATTTGATGACTGCTTTGGAAGTTTTCCATGATTATTTGAATTAAAAATTTCTATGAAAACAGACATTCTTATTCACTTTTAAAACCACTTAAAAGGAATTTTTTGGACAAATAAACCAAAATGTTATGTTATTTGAATCCAACACTCATCTGAATTCAAGAATTAATCGTCTTCTCAGTAATTCTTGAACTCGGATGAGTGTCAGATTTGAAGGACAACATTTAGGTTTATTCATCAAAAATCCCTTTTAAATGGTTTTAAGTGATTGATTATATTGCCAAATATTGCAAATTTTTAGCTTCTTATCAGAAATTCTTATTCTATGGTTAAATATATAGATATGCAATACAATTTTCTTTCAGACAGAAATTGCTTAATACTTGTTAAATCAACCCTTATAGGTGGTCCCATAGATTGACACTAACAAGAATCTACTGTTGACTTCATGGATAAAAAAATCAAATACAGTTTAACCTGATTAATAACGTCATCAGATGTAACAACAACCCTAATATAATGTCAAATTTTTATCGGTCCCATGATTTTACTATACTAGACAATGTTAAAAAACCCAACATAAAACTCTGTTTTAACGTCATATTTAAAGCACTTCCAGATTTACAAAATTAGATTACAAATTTTATTTAACAAAGAAAATACAGTACATGTACTACATGTTCAGTTTCTGGGGTCAAGAGTCCACTTCCTAGAATGATTGTGGGTGGTACTCTCACCACGTGACTTCGGTGGTCACATCTTTAAATGACACGATGATCAGTCAGTCTGCATAGTTACGCATGTTATTTTATACAGATGCAGATATTGTTGAGCAAATTAAATATACAGATGAAAAAAATGAAGATGATGAAGATAAAACATCAGACAGAGAAAATGAAGTGCCATCAACCAGGGAAGCATGTAATGCAATAAGATTATTGAAAATGTTTTACAGATCTCAGAAAACTTTATCGAAAATAATGAATAAAGTGTATGATTTAGAAAATGATATTGATAAACAATTTTCAGGTGAAAAACACCTACAATCTAAAATAACTGACTTTTTTTAAGTGAATATTGTTATTGTGTCTTTTTAATTTGCATACATTAGTTTAACCTTTTGTTGCCTTTTTATTTGACATTATTCTCAAAACTGGAAGTGCCACCATTATTGAAACTTAAGACAAATAGAAATTTCTTATAAAAGGTAATTTTTGAAATTTTTAATTACATTGATGTAAACTTAGACATAATAATGTAAATAAAGTTGATTTAAACATTTAGTTTGCACTTTTATACATACAATAATAAATTATAACCATAATAGATACATTATACTGTATTACCATTAAGAAATAATGTTAAGGTAATATATATGATGTTAAATTAGAATGGATTTTATAATAGATTCTTAAACATACTTGATACTTTTTATGGGACTGAAATTATGACCCCACAGATAACGACACACTGTTATAACATCAAAAAATTGCCAGTCTCATGGATGACGTTATAATAGGGTTAAATTGTGTATATAAATGTAATCATTCGTCAAATTTAGTCAGTCATATGTATGTAAAGAATGTCTCAATACTGGGATGCAATTTTTCCTTACAATGTTCTCAGTTTTAATAGTGTCTTGCCCCTGTACATCCTACTTTTCCTGTTAACAATAGTCATGCTAGACATCTATCTAACTCTGTTCAGGGGAGAATTTTTGAATTGAAATAATGTGACTTAATTTTTATAACCATATTATTTTTAGTTTATGAAATGAGTTTAATTATTATGAATTAGTTAATTCTTTTAAATTATTTATCGATAAGTTAGTTACTTCAAAATTAAATAAATCTTTTAAATGTTTTTTTTTATATTCGTAGTGTATTTATTCAACAATAACTAACTTTCTTATTGTTTTTTCTAGTGGTCTTTTTTATGAAAAGCATCTGAAATTTATTAAATTAAATGATAAATTTGTGCCTTTTACAAAGAAGGATCTCAGTTATTTAAAAAAGGTATTATAAGTGTATTTTTGTATAATTTGTTTATATATAATTTAAGAAAAAATTAAAACAAAATTAGAAAAAACATTACAAAATAAATAAGTGTAGTTAAAATAATTTTTAATTTTTAAAGCTATACGTCAATGATGGCACCTAATGCCTAACTCTAATGCCAAATTGTTTATTAAATTATTAGTAATATAGCCATTTCTGGCTCGATAATATTTGGCTTTGGTTGACGTATAGCTTTAAAACATATCGGATCTAGTAAGGATGTTTGATTATTAATTTTTAATGCATTTATCAATAAACTGAATATTTTACCTAAATTAATTGTAAAATTTATATAAGAAACTTCCAAACCCAATATCCAGTTAAAGAACAAAAAATATTATTGAAAAAACAAACGTTTGTTTTTTTTCAATACATTTTTTGTTTTTTAACTGGATATTGGGTTTGGAAGTGTTCTTTTATATTGCATATATCTAGTTTGAGGTAGTGTTTCTACAGTAAAATTTATATATTAATTTTCTTAGTTTGAGAATAATTAATTAATGAGAAACTTCCAATAAATTTAATTGTTTTGTTTTATAAATTAAATCCTTAATTTTTTTGATGTGATACACTTAATTAGAAATACAGAAAGAAACTTATAGATAAATTTTTTGTAAATTTACTATAAAATATCAGATTTCCTCTCGTGTTAAGTAAGTTTAATTCAATAAGTTTATTTTAAAAAAAATTTAAATCGGGTTTTTGAAATTAAAAACAATATTTTTTATAATTCGTTCAAATATTTTTAGAATACTGTGAATACTTTCAAAATTAAATAGCTATGTTTTGATGTATCTTGATGATTTTTTAATAATGTGATTAAGTTTAAAATAAACAGTAAGCTGTCTTAGAAAGTAATATTTCTTAGAAGTATAGAAGAGAAAAAAAAATGTACACAATGATAAATTACATTAACTAATGATTGAGAATCTTAGTGAAGTACCAAAGGAGGGGTATTTTTTTGTATCAAATTGATCAAATTGCAAATTCCACAGGTGAAGCTGCAGGTAACAGCTAATGTGTGTATAATGTATGTATATATATATACATACATACATATACACACATTACTGACTGTATTATATATATATAATACAGTCAGTAAAACATCTAAAACTTGAATTTGAAGGAACCAAAAAAATGACCAGTTTAAATTAAGGAGAGTTCTACATATGGAAATAAATATGAGAAATGAAAAATATTTTTATTCAGATGCAAATTATAAAGTAGTTGTGAGATTCTGTGGGTTGTTTTTCTGTAAATTTTAGCAAAAAGCTAAGTTATGAGAAACTTTTCTTTATTTCCATCTGTTTTCCACAGAATTAGAAAATACACGAGCATGTGTTATTTTAACAGTAAACAGTTGACTAAGAAACTCATGTTAAAGAGGGGGTCTTTGATGCAACAAGTCCCTTCCCCCTCTCATTGATCTGAGAAAATTTTGAAATAAAGTTATAACAATTAATTGTTAACGTGAAAGAAAGTTGACATTTAAACAAGTCCATAGGGAGAATTTAAAAACAATCAAAAGAAATAGTAAACTATCTGCCCTGAATAAACTAATTCTCACCACCTTAGCTGGCCCAGCGATGAGAAACATTCAAAGTGTCATCACTATCAAACAAAAGGTCACCTGACCACACTCCCACACTTGATGAGGATATAATGACGGCACACCCAATCTTTGGGGCAATCAGTCCCTAAGGAGAATCTTTTTACATTGGTGAATTGTGCAAGTTTCGGCCGATGTCGTCTCCGAAAGTTGCACTAAACGAAATGAAAATAAAATCTTAATGCTAGCTAAATTCTAATTAAAATCTTACTTGGTGTAATGTTGGCGTCCACGAGTCTTCTTAAAACCACATTCGGGTAGCAAATAACACTGAAAAAAGGCAGAAAACACAGCAAAAACTAGAGCAAAGAGCACACACGTCCGTTCCGCAAGCGAAAAACATGGAAAGTGATGCAAAATCATGTAGCAACAATACACGTTTCCATAGAAACAGCAATTGTTGCGAGATTAGAAAGCTCACAATGAATTCGAATGTGATTGATGTCATGGATTTTTTTTTGAATTTTAAGGCTAAATATCTGCATTTTTTACATTTCTATCCTCCGAGTGAAGACAAATTGGGATCGAAAGACTCCCTACCACCCTCCGCCTTCGGTTTTCATTCTCCATAAGGGGTTAGAAGCAAGATTTTCTATAATTGAGCATTATCTTTACCTCGCCACCCCCAGAACTAGAAGAAATCCTTCCTCTCGTTTGTCGAGTATTTTTCGACGAATTTTCCAATTGACCGACAGTGCAATTTTTACTAAATTTTGTAAAATTTCATTAATTTGACGCCATTTTAAAAGCAGTTACCTGATGTCATCGAATGTTGGTTATATTAAATATGCGTGTTATAGTTTAGTTACGTAAACGTTAAAGTAATTTGTATATTAAATAAGCAAATTTTATGAATTTACCTGAGTGATAGAAAACATCATGTATGTATTTTACACCAAACAATCAAATATAGATCTTTCTATATTGAAACTGAGAAAAAGATCGTTCATTTCAAGAAAAGTAACTGTATTTGTAAAAAATCTATCAAAACCAACGAGTTGCGTAACTTTCTCTGCTGTTGTGAGATTTTATTTAGAAATTAACTTTTATATTTTTAATTACAGTAGACTCCCTATAACGCTTAGATACGTTCCACTCTATAAGAATTTTACATCGTAGAAATCCTTAAATACATGAGCCAATCACAGCCTGACACGTGTGAAGTTTACGGACTAAGGCTGTTTGAAAGGTTTTCTTCTATAAAATTAACCAATTCTAGACTACTTCGACTCAACATTTCCAAAACACGTATAATTTTTTGGTAATAATCTGTATAAACTAAGCTATAAACAAAAAATTGTGGGATTACTTACCGAGTGTGCACCGTTCGACTACGCCGTTGCTTATGCTTGTTTTCGTCGCGGAGCAGTGCACCAAACGGCGGCTGCATTTTCTGATAAATTATTTTTCTGCAAAAAATTTGTTGACCTTTGGAGACATCATTAATATAAATAATTTTTATGGCCATTGAATAAGAAATGTTTCTTTCACAAGAAATGTATAAAATTAGTGCTGTATTAGATTTACGGTACCTAATTTACATACTGTACAGACGATAGTAAACCTAAACTCTTTGTAGCGTGGCGCTGGACGGCGGAAAATATATATATAATTATAATAAAGTTACAATAAATTAAGTTAATATATAATTATATATACAGTACCTAATTTATATATAATACTGTACAGACGATAGCAAACTCAATTTACCCGCCTAAACTTTTTGTAGCATGGCGCTGGACGGCGGAAAGTAGTTCGGCTGCTCATCCACTATTGGTCCAGATTTGACCAATCTTGTCGCGACACGAGTCGGCAACGACGTTTTATGAGTCCCTTTATATGAATACTGCCGCAATTTTTTCGCTATGTTATAGGAATTTTCGTTATAAGAACCCATGTTATAGGGGGTCGACTGTACATTATAATAAATAAAATTGTGTGTGGCGCCATCTGTTATGAGATTTTGTTATATAAATTTTTCATAGTTTTAATTATTATAAAATGGCAAAAGGTTTAATTTTAAAGGTATGAAAAAAAAATTTTAAATGCTAGTAACGAGTAAACTAGAGAACTAGCAATTATTTATTGTGACATTGTCACAATACCTGGATGCAATTTTAATCATATTTTTAATTTTTGTAATTTAAAATACAGTGGTGCCTCATATAACGGACACTGCAAACAATGGACTTTCTGTTTGGTCGTTACGTGACTCGAGCAATGGACTGGCTGCAAACAATGGACTTTCTGTTTGGCAGTTACGTGAGGTGAACAACGGACTTTCTTTCAACAAGTGCGAATGATGTTTCCACTCTTTTGCCATTGCCAATGACAATTTGCTATTTTTATAATATATTAGTATTATTAGAATATATTATTAGTATATCTGAAGTACAGAGCTCCCGTTGGGATTCGGCTTGCTCCCTTGTTTATTATGTACATCACCTCAGTGCAGGATATTTACATTTATTCAAGTGTTGTGCAAATCATGGCTTCTAAAAAACAGAAAGGTGATTTCAATTGGAACAAAGCAAGAAATCATCAGAAGGAGTGAAAGTTGACAAAAACTTTCTCGTCAAATGGGGAGAGGTTAAGGAGTTTACCAATACTCATTATCCAAACAGAGCTGAAGCCAACAGGATCAATGATCTCTACAATGACACCCTTGCCAGTCATTTACACGACAGGTGTTGAAGAAGAGAGAGAGAAACAGACCACCTTGGACATGTTTTTTAAGAAGCCAGCTGCTAAAAGGATGGAAACAAAGGATGGAACAAGAGGAGTTGACCCTGCAAGCTCTGATAGCATCTCCTGAATCTGACTCCAATTAAAAGACAATAAAAAGAGACCTGATGCAATGTGTAAAAAGTTTGTATCTGTATGAATGTGTGAAGAAAGTGTTCCTCCACCTCCTCCTCACATCTGACTACCCAGCATAATTGGTGACTGCTCCATTTTCATTTTTTTTTTTTTATGGTACAGTATGGTTATTTTATGCTGTGGAACAAATTATATGTTTTAACATGTATTTCTATGGGAAAATGTGTTTCGTATAACAGATTTTTCACTTAACGGACATGTACCTGGAATGGATTAAGTACATTATACGAGGCACCACTGTATATGCTCTTCACATCAAATTATTAGTAATGGCTTGTCCTTGTACATCACACTTTTCCTTTAACAATAGAGTCAGAGTCATGCTGGTTACCTATTAATTGCTTTCAGGGAGAAGTTTTGAATTGAAATAGCATAACTTCCACTTCGCATCGGACGTTTGTATAGTTTAATCATTAAATGAAATAAAAATTTTAACTTTGATATACAGATATGCCTTTCTTTTTGT